CTATAGGAATGTCTTTTATTTCATTCTTGTCTGATCTCTTTGGCTAAGACTTTCAATAATATATTGAGTAGGAGTGAAGAGAACCGACAGTCTCTCAAGATCCTGTATCAGAGCTGGAAGCTGAACTCATTGCCATCAGATCCCCTAGATCCTCAACATGAAACATGAGAACCTCCATTTTGAACTCTCTGTATTGGAAATTTGCTTCCTCCTTTTGCCTAAACAGAGTGATTAACATTCCTATTGTCTTTGCTAAATAACTGGATACTCCCTAATTTAATATGTTCCTTAGCAATAACCCCCTTGTCTTGAGCCATGAAAACCATTAAGATTCTAATGTATTTAGGCAAGGGACTGGGAAGTGCCCTTGTAAATGATTAACCTGCTTGATCTGGCTTCTGTAACTGCTTTTGCATAGGAATTCCTTCTCCCTTTCTTCTCCACCCCCTCCTCAACAGTTATTGCTCCTGCCAAGTCAACCTAAATGTAGTTTTTGCCTTTACAAGCACCATTCTGCCTACACTCAAGAATGCAGGTTGGGACCAGCAGTTAGTGTAATGGCTATGTTGCTGGACTCCCACATAGTCGACTGCAGTTCACGTCTCGGACCTGGTGGCTCAAACTCACTGGTTTGCCCCAAATTCAGAGCTTCTGGAATCATGTTTGTACACCTGAATACAAATACCCACCTTTTGACAGAGCAATTGCTGGAAGCAAAGCCCAGGTCACCTGTTTTCTCACCCTGGACCTGCACATCCCAATGCTCCTGTTTCTCTTCCCAGCCCAGACCAGGTGCTGCACCTTCCTTCAGGTGCTCCACCTCCTCCACCTGATATCCACCCATGTTTCTGCTCCCACCAACAGAAGCACCATTCCACTGCTAGAGACCTCAAAAACCGTAACCCTCCTCCTTCATATTAAGACTCACCTTCACGGACACATTGTTCAGCAGATAATGGTCAGCACAGTGACTGATTTTTCCCAGTGATCATGTAGAAGGAACCAAGGATCACAGGTGGAGAAAGAATCCCAAAAAACAGTCTTCCTTGGTCTGTGCTGATGAAGTCATTGGAAGAGAAACTCATTTCCCACAAGGCTTTGTAATCTTTGATTAGGCATCAAAGTGAAGTTTCATGTGTTTTCACAGCAGAGGGTCCTATTACCAGGACACCAGAACCTGACTGGAGAGGAAAGGTCTCTATCCATGTGAATGAATGACAAGATCCTAGTTCTTTATAAAATCCTGGTTTAGCATTTCAGGGATAATAGGGAGATGTGTATGTGGGTCACTTAGTCAACGACATTAATAAGTAACTTAATATTTTTGTTGTTCTGATATTGTTATTCCTGTTAGTTTTTGTAATGCAATCTAAAACATGAAAAATAATATGTTTAAGTTTATTAAGAAACAAGTGATTACTATGGTAATTCTCTTGGAGTCCTTAAAATATGTTTATCCCCACCCACTAACCTGTTTTTTTTGAATATTTAAAGGGTATTACAGTTGGAAAACTGTTCTAATGTATATATGAGATAAGATACCAGGCTCAGAGGGTAGGTGTACTTCCAAGTATATTTACACTTCAAGTGTCTGATAATTATTTGCTCCAAAGCTCCCATGTTTAATCCAACAACTCTTTAATTATTTGGGGTATAGGTCTGTGTGCGGAAGATGTACCTGACTCTTCCTTGATTTTGTCCACAAACCAGGCTAGGAGGGATTCATATACATTTTGCTATCACTGACTTTCTTTTCATCTTAAAATTGGCTTTTATTTTAAAATACCGTTAGTGTAGAACTGTCATACTACAAGAAATAATAAGACACAAAGAAATAAAATACTTTCAAATACATTTTAAACTAGACATGAAAATTAATAGGATAGCCAAAATTCAAATTGTGGAAACCTAAAATTTAATTCTTTAAACACACACTTAGAAAGAAAAAGCTCTTTTCGCATTTTCCATGTTCCAATATATTAATAATTACCTTGGTTTTCTAGTAGGTAAAGGGCCCAAATTTAGCTGACTTACTTAAAATTATCAGAATTTGTTTGGATAAAAAATTACCATGACCCTAAATTCTCAGTCAGAATTATATAAATAGGTGCTCAAATAGTTATGCTGCCCAAAATAGAAACATCTTAAGTGACACTTCTGTATAATCATATAGATATTGCACTAATATCTGTAATTCCATACCTGATGTTCATTTATATAGAAGGGTAATTTTCTTCTTTATGAAAAACCTGCAAATAAACTTAACTTAATGTTAACCTAATTACAATCACACTTCAAAATATAAAGGCACAGACAGACAAATGAATAGTTTAATATTATACCCAAATTTTCTGCTGTGAAAATAAGAAGTTGAAAAACATAATAAAATTGAAAATTCTTATTTTTAGACTATAGAATTTACCTTAAGTACCTCATAAATGGATATTAAAAGTTAACATGTTAAATCTAATATTTTCCAAATAATTAAGAAAAATGCTTTGTTTACATGTGCATTGTCCCATCTGTAAATTTCAACTACTAGTGGAAATAGATTTCCACTCATTGGAAATATCTACCACCAGTATAAACATTCAAGACAATGTACAAAAAAGAAATCTTGTTCTTATAACTTACAATGCACAGAAAAATACCTACAAAAATGGAAATACTTAGCTTTTCAATAAATTGGTGAGAAAGTTTAACCCATTCCACATTTCTTCCTCAATAATGGCTAAAGAGTTAAGAGTCCTCACTTCTGTCCCTATATTTTTAAAATGGCCTGATTATATGCAATTTAATATAAAGTGAATATTTTATTTTTATATCACAGTATACATGGCATTTCTTAATTCAGCAACAAAAAGGCACAATTAGCAAGCAATAAAATTCAGTACCTGAATTATTAAAATGATATCCAGAACAGTTCCAAATAAAGTACATTCAATACAGTGTACAAAACTTAGGGGAAAATAGGCAAAAAAAAATGAATTTTTCTAAAAATTTGGTCCATTAAAAACATCTCCCATGTCCAGCATGATGGGTAACAGGAAAGGTGATGGCAGTGTAAAAATAGGCAGTAAATCAACATGTGGTACCATAGGAATTCTGCTCTAGCGGTTATACGATTCAATTAGGAAATGGCTCCCACAGTAAATATATGTTAAATATACTTGTTAATAATGACATACCTGAATTAAGTCCAAATACACAGGCACAACTGTTTGCATATTATTGTTGATTTTATAATACACCTCCATGGTTAAAAAAAACTTAGGCATATTATTTTATATATATAACATATATTTGATATAAAATTGCATATTATATACTTTAATATTTGTTATATCTAACCTGAATCAATAACAGCACAAAATTCTTCAAATATTACATGAACATTCTAAATGGATACTTATTTTCTCAATACTGAAAACGTTCAGTTCACCTAAAATATTTGAATGTACAATGATAAAATGCACTGACTCTTATGAATTTACTTTAATAATTATTTAAGTTAAATTCCTGCAAAAGCCTAACTCTGATCTGGCTTTTACTAGAATATATTTTTATATATCAGTAATTGACACCTTTCTTTAATAAAAAAAATTTCTCCATCAAGAGATACCAATAAATAAAAATATGTAAGGAACCAAGCATGTGATGGAAAAACCAACCTTTCCATAGGTAACATACAGATAAGGAAGTTCAACTTCCATATGTTGTCTTGCCATTATATCTCTGACTATGAGTACAACCCCTATCCCTATGAGAACTTACAATATGGCTTTTCCAATCAGAGTCACACTAATGGGGGAGGACATAGCTAAAAGTAAGGTATCTAGAGAAGGATCTAATATTAGACACATGTTGTAAGAAATATGAGATGCACATGCATTTTCAGCATCACTTTCTAGAATCTTGGCTGTGTCTCCTTGGGTTGTGCTCTAGGTGCCAAGAGTGAAACAAAAGATCCTCAAAGCTAAATGAAGCCCAATGATGAATAATGGAGCATATTTGTGAGTTTGGTTGATGTTGTTAATCAGGACAAATGGATAGAAGACAGTTAAGATTAAAAGGTTGAGGGGACCGCAGTTAGCGTAATGGCTATGTCACTGGACTCCCACCGTAGTCGACCCGGTTCGCGTCCCAGACAGGTGGCTTAAAACTCTGGGCGGGAACCAGCAGCTAGCGTAATGGCTATGTCGCCGGACCCC